TGTACATTTTCTGTGCTTAACATCCATGTGACCCTAAGTCTGGACAAAAGATCCCTTTCTATGAGTTTGGCTGGTATGTCCCAAAGGCATCCCCTATCTTGTCAGTGGCATGCCTACTCACCAACAACCCTACCCCCATTTACTAAAATAACAAATTCAGTTGGACAAATAAAAATTAGAGAGAAGCAGAAAATTTGGGGAAATGATTAATTATAACATACCAAACAAAATCCGAACCATTTTTATGACTTTTTTCTTGTTGGCCATATTGCTGACAAAGATGTATATAACAAATTCAGTTGGACAAATAAAAATTAGAGAAGCAGAAAAATTTGGGGAAATGATTAATTTATAACATACCAAACAAAATCCAAACCATTTTTATGACTTTTTTCTTGTTTGACAAAGATGTATATAATCGTGTGATAATTTTAACCTACAGGACAGAGAACTTATTGAGCAAAAACCATCCAGTCCTCTACCCAAAATTATAAATTGGTTAAACAGACAAGAAAAAAAAGAAATCGAAAATGTTTTTGAGTAAGTATTATTTTTTTTTTTTAAAGGTGGTAGTGGTTGCATACAACTACTGCCACTACTACAGCTACTCTAGTTTATATATAACCTTATTAAATTAATTTGTATTTACTTTATTTACTTTCCAAAAAATATTAGACAAAAAAAAAGTTTTTTTTGTAAACTTCCAAATGATCTACTTTTTAATATTTTAATATATTTAGATTTGATAGACCTAATTAGAGTAAATTTGGTCTGTAAAAAACTAAATAATATTGCAAATGACAACTGGATATGGAAAAAAATTTTATTCAAAAATGGATTTCATCTTGATGATTATGATAAAAACATGGTGACTTATTCTAATAATAATAGTAATAGCAGTGGTAGTAGTTCAACAGTGCCTTCGGCAAATTTTTTATTCAAAACAATCTATCATCAACATCATTTAATGAAACAAAATTGGATGAATTGCAAATTTAAACAAGTGTCATTCGAAATATACTGTGAGATAGTAAAATGAGGACCGATAGAGAGGTCCCACGTTGCCGTTCCAACCAAACCAAATTATTGCGGAAGTCACGCGAAAATTACATCATTTCTATTTTTATTTTTTTACGTTATATTTTGTGAAAATACTGCGCCATACATTGCGCAGTATCACACGCACAATTACTCATATTCATATTTCTATATTTATATTTCAAGAAATTGTTCAGCTGGTGTAAATATTTACTTTTAAATTATTAATTATTATTTGTAATGCTCAGTTGACCCAAATATTTATTTTATTAATAAGCATAGTTTATTGGAC